AGGGAGGGAGGGAGGGAGGGAGAGAGAGAGAAGAAGGAATGTGCCCTCACCTTGAGAGAGTTTCCTGACATAACCTTCATTGCTCACGATATATTCAATGCCTTTCGGAGAGTTCATCACTGCCCGCACACAGTTGATGCATGTCAGCTGCAGGAGGGCATCTGAGATCCTAGAAACACCTCTCCCTGACAGTCTGTCTAGGGCTTCTAACAGAAGATCCAGTCCACAGAGTTCCAAAAACTGGACCATCCAGCTATCATCACTACTTTCCAGCCGCTTCTTGAGCCCTGAGTAATTCACCACTGAAGGGATCTGTAACAGGCGAATGCAGAGTTCTGGCTCTGCATTTTCCAGGTTGGCTTCGGTTTGATCCGAATCCTGGGACCCCAGCCTTTCTTTCAAGACACTCCATTTCTTGTGTGCATTTTCTTTTTTGCTAGACATTTTGGCAGGTTGCTCCTAAAGGAGGAAGAGGAAAAACAGACCCCAAAGTTTCATTTATTTTATTCTTTTTGTCTGGGAATGCCCCCCCCCCCAATTACTGATCAAATCACTAGGCAGATAAAGCTTTTTACTTCTCTTAAGGGGAAGCTTCAATTTTCCAGGGGGAATACTAATTAAGGATGTATCTGCTCAGATCTTTTCTCTTCTACACCACAAATTGTGCTATCAACAAAGAAACATTAGAACATAAGCAATCCCCTTGGTTTCCCAGCAGACGGCCTTTTGAGACAGTCACACTGCCATCAAGACTAATAGCCACTGATCCCTATGACTTCCATGAATTGGTCTAATCCTTTTTTGAAGCTAGCCAAACTGGTAGCTAGCAGCACATCTTATGGTAGCAAGTTCCTGAGTTTGATTACATGATGGATAAAAAAAAAATCCTTTTGTCTGTCCTGATTCTTCCAGGATTCAATAAAACCACTTCCTTTTCTTTTGTACAATTACCCCCTTTATCTCCAGCTTTATCCTCATGAGAAACGCATTTGTGCACTCTGAAGCATCACTAGTGTTTTGCCAATCATTCTCAGATTACAGATAGTCCCCAGTTTAAGAATGAGTTCTGTTCCCAAGGTGTCCTTAAGTCGAATTTGTATGTAAGCCGGAACAGTATGATTGTATAATACTGTATAAGTAATATTGTGTAATGAACTCGAACCATTGTGTATTTAACTTGAATCATTGTGTATTTAACTCAAATTTTGCTACAATAAGCTCCATTCTTAACTATGGGTCTGTAAACCAGGCATTCTGGACCTGGGGACTACCTGCAAACCTGTAAGCCGGAACAGTATGATTGTATAATACTGTATAAGTAATATTGTGTAATGAACTCGAACCATTGTGTATTTAACTTGAATCATTGTGTATTTAACTCAAATTTTGCTACAATAAGCTCCATTCTTAACTATGGGTCTGTAAACCAGGCATTCTGGACCTGGGGACTACCTGCAAACCAGGTGGCAACTGCTTGCTTCTTTATCCCATGAATATTCAACCTTAGTAACTTTCAAGAGTACACTGAATTCCTGAACTGAGCAGGAATTGGCCTAGATGATGCTTAAAGTCCTTCCAACCCTTATATTATATGATGCTGTGATTCTATGATGCTGTAGAGGCAGGATGGTGCTTTGGTTAAAGCACTACATCAATTTTTGTAATATCGGTAGAAGAAGACTTCCTTGTGTCAAGCTCACCTCCTGATAGCTACTGTATATAGACATGTCCATACAATTTTCTTGGCAACACTATACAAGTGGTTTGCCACTGTCTTTTCTTCTGAGATTCTTCTTTTGTACTTCTTGGTCAAGTCCCATCCCTGGGATTTCTTGGTGGCCAACCATCATAATACTACCCAGCTCATCAATCACTATTAACTGTGCAGGCATATCTAGCACTGAGAAAACTCAAGAGATTAATTAAAAGCCTGCACACATGCACATCCTCCCCCACACGTATAGAACATGAATATTCTTTGCTACCTAGCAAGATAGCATCTCGTCTCTAAATGATATTTTTGTTCTAGTAATAAGCTACAAAGATTTCAATAATAACAAAAATAATAAAACTAGGATGCTTCTCTTCCCCCAAAGTCATATCAAGGTATGTTCACAATATAAGTGGGAGGATGTAATCTAATTCTGGGGCATCCATGGGGTAATCATGCAATCACTTTAATCTCAGATGTGGCGGAGAAAGGGAAGAAAATTGCCTGTTATCTTGGAGCAGAAAGCCCAATTCACTTTTGACTTTAGACATGCCTGTGCTAATGTTTCTCCTAATATTGTTGATTTTTTCTCCAGCCCTTCCTACTGCCTTTCAGATGAGTTGGACTCTAATCCACATCATTCCCCTGCTAGGGGATTTATTCCACCTTTTCTCTAAAGGTTCTCAGAAAAAAATACCTGAATTTTCGATCCTACACATATTTTCTAAAACCGTAACTGCTGCTCGTGCTTCCCCCAACAACATTTGCAGGACCTGGCCTCATTTTTCAAAAGTAATATTTCAGCTGCCTTTCCTGAAACTTGGAACAAAGCTCTGTTTTTGCTGTAAAGGTTTGTCCCACCAGAGAAATATATCACCAGAAAGGAATGTGTGGGGTTTATCCCACGATAGGTCTAATGTATTGTGGCAAAAAACAAAACCTGACCTATGCTTTGCCAAAGAACTCCACAGAAGTCTTAAAATGTATCTGGGGGTGGGGAAATAAATATTCCAGATGACATATCCTTATTCTTAATTCTAAAACAAGGAGTGTTTTTCCTTACTTTAAATAGCTGCGGGGATACTTTTTAAAACTTTCCCAAGACAATTAGAAGAAGTTGCTCCCCAAATGCCATGGGTCTATTATACATAAAAAACAAATAAAGACTTCCTCAAGACGGCCTTGCCTCCTGGCTACAATATAGATGTGGTTTGTCATTACTTTCTTCCATGCTATTTTTTATACTTTCCAGTTTAGCCCTCAACCTAAATTGCCCTGGTTGTCTCCCCATCCAAATACTGACTAGGTTTGAGCTGGCTTAGTTCTTTGAGATCAACCAGTGTTGGCTAGGTACTGTCATCTGCTGGAGCCCATATGAGAATACCGGTGTTGATTGTAGAACATGCTCCTCATGGAGGTGCAACTGCAACACCATTAAATTAAGCACCAAATGCAAACTAATTTCTTTTCCCCAGCATTTTAAACTACTATATTCTGCTGGCTGATATGACATTTGTGGAACTGCTGTCTCCCATTGTCTCTGCTTGCCCCTCCAGATCTAACAGAGAGGTCATGCTTAGGGTCCCTTCCATTAAACAATGCCACCTTGTTAGACTCAGGAGTTGTGCTTTCTCTGTGGCAGTGCAACAGCATCCCTGCAGAGATCCGGATGGCCCTGAACCTGTTAGCTTTTTGTAAAGTACTAAAGACCTGGCTGTTCCCCCAGGCATCTGGGCCGGGAGGTTAAGCAGGTTCTGCTGGTTAATGTTGTTTTCTTATAGGCTGGAATTGTTGTTGTGCTCTCAGACACTATGGGTTGGATTGTTTCCTTTGTTGAAACACCGCACCCAGAGTCATTGCCATAAGATAGGTGGCCGTATAAATTGTTTAAACAAATAAATAAATAACTTTCTGAGTCACGCTTTCATTGTAATTCACCTCAAGGATTGTTATGGGGGAAGATGGGAGGAGGGAATACTACTGACCCCATCTTGAGCTCCTGAAGAAAAAGCAAGATATAGATATAAATCCAACAAATAAATGAAATGTCCTTACTTGCTATTTGATGTTGTTCTATTTCTTTTTATTATATATTTGTACTACCAAATTTTTCCAACATCATTAATTATATATAGGATAGGAAGAGTATGGATCAAACAAATGGATCATCAAACCAACCAACCAACCCAGAGTTCTCACTCGAGGCACAAATGACCAGGTTCAAATTATCCTACTTCAGACACATTATGGAAAAACCTAGCTCTCTGGAGAAGACTCTGGTGCTGGGAAAAGTGGAAGGAAAGAGAAGAGGATGACTAGCAGCAAGGTGGATGGATTCCATTACATTGCTGGTGGTACACTGTTGGAAGACGTGAAAAACCAGGTTAGGGACAGATTGTTGTGGAGAAAATCTACCTATATGGTCGCTAACAGTCGACACTGACTTGATGGCACATAATCAGTCAGTCAATCAATCAATCAATCATATACTATATTAAGATAAAGGATAGTCTAGCTACTACTGTACATCTGGTCTTCAAAACTCCAGATAACAGCAAAGAGATTTGGCAACTCTTTGTTGCAATCTAGTGGTAGTCTAGATTTTTACAGCCTAGATCTGATAGCCCTAGAGCGGGTATTCTCAAACTATGGGTGAGGATCACCCAGGACGGCACAAGCATTTTAAAGGTTGTCACTGTTTTTTAAAATCTGATCAGGCTTTCAAGGCCAAGTGGGAGTTCTGTCAAAACTCACTCTAGACATTACTCCCTACTTTGCCTGGGCAAGCAGACTATGGGTGTTCCCAGGCAAAGCAGGCGTGAATTCTGCCAGAGCTCCCACGTTGCCAGGGCAAGTCCCAGTAGGTGGCTGCAGGACTGCCAGTTTAAGAGTCTCTGTGTGTGTGTTTGTGTGTCTGTGTGTGTGAGAGAGATACACATTCACGCACACATCAAAATTTAATTATTAATAGTAAGCAGTATATTTATTTCTTGCCCAATCCTGACCCCAATGAAATAATGTTTTATACATGGGTAAGTGACACACAAACTCATGTATCATTTATGAAGTCACAGTATTGCAAAGCTGGACAAATCCTTCCCTAATTTATTATTAATAAATAATAACACTGACAGGCAAGAATCAGTGGCTAGGATTAAAAATACCCTTAATTCTTCTCTTCCCATTGGTTTTGTACTGCCAATGTGAGTAACTTTTCCACAACTGAGCTGCAAGTGTAAAAGTAAGATGAGTTGGGAAAGATGGGGTTAAACAATCTCAGTGTCATTTGCAGAGAAAACTGAATCTGCTGAGGAAGAGATGAAACACTCATTGCTGCTGTTTTTTCCATGCAAGTCCCTGGCCTCATTGGTGCAAACACACATATACTGACATCAACTCCATGTCTGAGAGTTCAAGTTCCTCAAAGTAAAGCTAAAGAACAAGCAGCAATATTCAGGTAGATTTGTTTAAATTGCAGCATATGTCCCAAAGTTACTCATTTGTAAAGCAGAATAAGACAGGTCTTCTGTTGTGGAAATATCACATTTTCCCAGCCTTCAATATTGCAAAACAATATTTTTAACTTTGGCCAGCATGCCCAATTCTCTGGCAATTTCTATGTAAAATACCACTTTGCCTTCTTGTCTTACTACTGCAGTGACTGTCACATTCCTCATAAGAAGCACAACTACACCTTATGTCTGCAAGAATTGTTGCCCAATTTTGTGTAAGTGACACACCCAAGGAA